TAAATTATAAAAATTCATTTTCAAATAACGTTGTCGAACTCAATGTATGCCGATTTTAAAAAACTTTTTAAACAACAACAAAGGGTCTAAAATATTTGAAATTTAAAGATAAAAGGACTTTGTTTTGCATACTTTTAGGCACTTAGCCTTTACCAGCTTAAAGAATTTTTAGTCAACATTTGAGGGGTAAAAATAGGTTTACCCTCAAATATACCAAGGTATCAAAGTATACTTTCTAAGAAACCCGCAGTGGCAAAGAGTTTCATATTTGGTATAAAGAGGTCATGGTAAGATATTAAGTACTGAACTATTTAGCGCATTTTTGACAAAATGACGGCTCCCAAAAAAAATGTTTTTGAGAAAAAATGTACACTTCATATCATATCATATTCATATCTAAGAATCTCGTGTAAAATTTTCAAAACGATCGGTCTAGCCGTATCGAAGAAATTTTACTAACCGCGTTTCGAGAAAAAACGAGTTTAGAGTTTTGGGAGCCGATTATACTACATAAGTCAAAGAATGCTCACAAATACACTCATATTTTCGAAACTATTTGTCGTTTCAACTTCAAATTTTCAGAGAAAATTTTCGAATATACATATGTATGTACATTTCATATGTATATGTGCAAAAAATCGATATTATGATATTCGAAAGTGGATATAACCCCTTTAGTGAGAAGAACACACTTTTAAAAAAGTTGTAAAGTTCCATAGCTCTTTATATCTCGATTGTGTGGAAATGTCCAACACATCTGTTGGATAGTGAGAGTATAAAAATTAACCTAAATCATGTTAATTATTAAATAAAACGAATAAATATTTCTTTATTTCCGTTACTAAAAGAAGCATTGATTGGTTCAACATGGTAACCCTTTAAACCTATGTTTCCAACACCCAATCATATAACATATACCATATATACATATGTATTTTTTCTGTTGGTAAGAACTGCTAACTGGTATTGTAGCAAGCAATCCAAAGCCTCTTCACGAACACAAATCCATGCACGATCATACAAATTGCCACCGAAGTCGGAGAAATGAAGTTATAACCTGTTGCCACAAATGCTTCTGAATACCTAGACGCTAAGTTGCTCACATAAAAATAATGAGTTACGAATAGCATGCTCGTGTGCCAACCGACTTACATACATACATACATATGTATCATCATCAAGCGAAACCGAGCAGCAATTCTTAAGCGAGTGCTTGCTGAATTGAATTACTCTTGCCACTTTGAGGCGCTCTTAAAAGTGCCTTATGCTCACTTACGCTCATATACTCATTAAAGCTACGATCATGTGAAGTTAGTCGAAGAAACATAAATAAATAAGTAAAAGCGACATAAATGCATTCCACGCCTTTGAAAAATGGTCGGAGCCTCTATATGGTAACGTGATGAATTGCCGGAGATGGTAGCATTAGCCCTCGTACATACATATGTATGTATAGTTACATATGTGTACTACATATGTACATATGTACATACATACTTGCCACTCCTCATCCTCATGCCATTGCCCATTTCTACCTTGTTAGAACCATCAGCGGCAGTGAGAGCTTCACGCCCGCGCAACTCCTCAACAACACTCGTTTCGCTATTGTTATTGTTGGTATACTCATTGTGGTCATCGCGGCCTAAGATATGTATGTGTTCCAACTTATACGAGTGTGTTTGTATGTATGCAACAGGTACGCTTAGCGTTCGCTACCCTCATTGCCGTCGACGTCATCGCGATCATTAGGCCGCTTGTTGGCCATCTCTTTCTCTGCGTAAGCCAGGTAGACGACGTAAGCGTAGAACGGCAGCCGACTGTGTAGCACAACAGCGACAGCGAGCCTGCTTCTGCTGCTGCTGTATGCAAGCGTTTAGGCGGCCACTGCCGATCGCGTTTTCGTTCCGCTTGAGCATTAACGACTGCGTGGTAGTGGTAGTTGGCCAGCAACTACAGCACACCACAACAATCGGCCGATATGATTGTACCAAAAATTTATCATCAGCGAATTCTCCTTTGCTGTTGCTGTGGAATGTTGTCGTCTTGTGGCCGCTTATGAAGCATTGTTGACTCAGTATTTCAATATTTGATTTGGTAGTTGTGATTTACTTCGAAATAAATATATTTGACGTAGTATCCACCGAATGTTGATTACTTTTCGTTGAACTTGAGTCAACTAACGTAATTTTTTTTATGCAATATCAAAGTTGGTGATATGTACATACATATCTATGTCTGCTTAATAACTTTTTTTTGTGAAATTGTCAAAACTGTTAAACCTTATTCTACAAAATTTTTTATTTTCATGTATTTATTTTCAAATGCAGCTAAAAAAGAAAGAAAAATAGTTTCAACAACTCTTTCAAATTGAAGATATCTCAGCAGTTCCACAAAATGTTTTCCGAATCCAAATAACAACTTATTTTTATAAATTCTTAGTGTAAGTCATAAATATTTCTATGAATAAAACTTAAAGATACTCACCGAACTCAGAGCGCTCCTTTCAATTTCCTAGGTCTCGTCGCCAACTCATAAAATACAGAACATTACTCAATACCATTCCATTCATTCAATTTCGCTATTAAAGACACTTGAGATACTCTCATCTTAAGAGTTTTCAATCAAAAACACACCAAGGTTTTTTTGGCTGACTTTGGCTCTTTCGTTTCGGTACATATTATATCGACTGAGTCAGCAAGAGATCGATTTGATTCCAAAATCAAAAAAGCTTCGTAATCAATCTCATATTATTTTTAGAAGACACATACTGAGGAACACACATCAGGCACTTATTAACTTTGAAGACTGCTGCCTAGATAGCCTTAGGTCACATTAAAATCGAGCTCTTGAAATTAGACTTGACTGGGGTGTAAACTGCTTATACAGTTAGTCACATCTGGGAAGAACAAAAATGTTAGAAGGTGACCCCTAATCCTATGTACATATCCTATAAACTACGTGAGTTATGTCAACCAGTTCCGGTGGAACCATGCATTTACCACTAAAATTACTACTTGACCGATATTAACCTAAATTGGTTCTTAGTATTCCAACTTCACTCTGTTAATGCAAGTTGGAAGTGGGCACAATCGGATGACAATCAAGTCCACTTTCACAGTACTTATCTGCTTATTTGCTTTTACAATAAATAAATGAGGTGTCAACAAAGATATCGAAATAAATCTTAGCAGAAATAGTGTTCACGGCATAAGACAACATCATTTTTTGAAATTTTTTATTTGCACTCACTGACTGACACGACCCGTACTTCTATCAAATCCCCATTTTCCAATTAGTGTAAAATTTTCAATCAAATCACCCGTGATTGATTCCACTACATACCCAGATATTAAATTTGGAGATATGTGATTTCACAAAAATGTGAACGGTGCCACGCCCATCGTCCAATTATGACACCTGCTCCTATAAAACTATCTTGTGCCATCCTAGATGTAAAATTTAATGTCTTTGACTCATTTAATTAAGGATTTATCGCACTTTTAGTAGTTTTTAAGAAAACCTAATGGGGAGTGGGCGTGGTTATGAGTCGATTTCGCCTATTTTCACGCTGGCGCAACAGATGTCGAAATGATTTGTCCCGTTCAAATTTGGGCGATATAGCTTGAATGGCTTGGTAGATACGGACGGACAGACTGTCACTCGGAATTCAACTCGTCTCGTCATCCTGATCATTCATATAAATATATAACTCCATATTTATCTCGGTTAGTTTTAGGTGATACACACAACAGTTATGTGAACAAAACAATTATACTTTGTAGCCACTTCTTGTAAGAATTTAAATATTTTATAAAGAAACTGTACCCAAATTTAACAAAAAAAAACTCTTTTGGAAAAGTGCAAAAACACATTAAGCCGCCGTGTGATTCCAACATGCCTATAACGGACGTGAGAGCTAATAAGAGAACTGCCCAAAGAACGATTTTAGGTTGCCAATTTTGACTGAAACCGCTTTGCCAATTAAGACTTCTAGTTGGGAAATTAAAAAGATCATAAATAAATGATTCCAAAAAAGTCGCCAGGATATGATAAAATTATTTGAAAACGCTGATGGAGCTACCAAATATTGCTATAGTAATGCTCTCCTTGCAATTTTCAGTTTCGGATATTATGCAATTTTATGGAAAAAATCGGCGATCATTAAGATAGATAAATCAGGGAAAGACTTAACACAAGCGTCTTCTTACAGACCAATAAGTCTCCTACATTGTCTTTCCAAAATATTTGAAAAAGTGTTACTATCAAAGATTTCCTATTGCATTTTATAAAATATAATATATATGTATATATATATATTGCGTCCGATAAAGTCTGCTTTACCTCAGGGGGGTGTGCTGGGCCCAACACTATATATTTTATATACAGCAGATATTCTAACTTGTAATAATGTATTGTCATCAACTTTTGCGGATGATACAACCATAGTATGCCGTAATAAATGTTCCATCAGAGCGTCAAGGGTACTAAAAGAGCATTTAGCTTTGGTCGCAGAATGGTTATCCAACTGGCGAATAATTCAAAATTAACAAAAGTGTAAGCATGTTCATTCTCACTAAGACAACTAAAGGTTCCAGTCAAAAATTATCAGAGCGATAACGGGTTCACCATGGTACATTCGAAATAAAAACATTCACAAAGATCTTAGTATTCCTCTGATAAAGAAGAAAGTAGCGGATAGGAGAAAGAAATACAAGCTTAAACTCTGGGAAGTCCAAATCCATTAGCTAATGCCTTGCTACAATCTTGTCTCAAAAAACACGTTTGAAAAGAAGAGATCTACCAGCCTTATAATACGTTGATTAGTAAAAAGGCTCAACCACACCTTGAGCTTGTTTAGTTTTAAATAGATTTAAGATTTTATTACTTATTGTTAGGCTATAAACAATAGCAGTTTCAATAAATAAAGGAATGTTATAAATAAAAAAAGATTATGCAGAAAAGTATAAAAAAACTAAATCGATAACTTTTCTTACTTTTAGAAAACTCGGCTTGGATCAAGTACCACGTATCGGCCCACTAGCTGTTGATCCGCACAACATCGGAATTGTAGGCCTGTACAATGTGCATGTATCTAGCGCAGACAATGCCAAAGCATCTTCGGTAAGTAGAATTTAATGGAAAATTAACAACAGCATACTAAAAATATAATTCCTTTCCTACAACTTCCCCTGCAGAGCCGCGGTACGTTGCGTCGCAAAGTTCAACGCAAAATACTCACACACCATTTATACTTTTGTATGCGTGATTTCGGCCACCGTATCGGCGGCGACGATGCTGAGGTATATTTCTACTTATACGATGCCAATCCGATGCGCATGCGTGCGCTGTCAGAACGATTTTTGGTTAAAATCTCCAAAGACGGTTTCTCAAATTACATAGAAAAATTGCATAGCAATTGTACAGTGTTCACGGATTTGGGTAGGTCTTAAAAAAATAATACTATATTAATGAGAAAACTGCTGAACTACGGAGTTAAGCAAACCAATTATTAACATATTTTCCCGTACTTTCTTCCAGGTGCTGTCGATTTAAATGAAGACCTACATTTAGTGGCTGTGGTAATGCGTGTGGGTAAAATTAATCCCTCGGAAACGGGCAAAAAAGTGGAAAAAAATAATAGCATCTGTTGCACGGGTCCAACCTATCGTAGGCCATTTGGTGTGGGTGTGCTGCCGCTAAATGATATAACACATTATGATAGCTCTATTGAGTCGGAGGAAAAAGAGTATAACTTTAAGGTGGGTCGTTAAAAAATATGAGTTGAGAAATGTGATAATGAGGCAGCTTATTCAATAATATATACGATTTTTTACCATAATAGTGTTAGAGATAGTCACAGAATTATTTGCAAACAGTAGAAATTATCGGCTGATCCAATATTATCAAATATTTGTACCTATTAAATCGGGGAAATACATGTTTTCTCATCCGAAAATAAAAACTAAATGCTCCATTTTATACATCAAAGATTACGAGATGACGCCATCTTTTCAGATAAACTAGAATTTATCTTTATTATTGATATGATAGTGGCAACCATTAAACAAATCTTGGTATTTTAATTTGATTATATATACGATGGCGATCCGATAAGTACTTAGTTTCAACCAGTCTCCATTTAGCTCGATATACTTAACCCAGCGACGATCCAAATTCTTGAGATACCTATTGTATCAGCTATCTCGCGCAATTTCTCTTTCAAAAGAGCTATTGGCTGGTGAGTCTAGATGATTATCGGACTGCCCTCGTATTACCTAACAGTTTTTGTTTGTTAAATACCCATATATTTTTATTACTAACCATTTTTTACCACCCTTGTCTCCAAACCAATTTAGATTTACCAATGCGATGAAAAAGACTTCCATCAACTACACGAATTAATCATTAAGAAATCAACTGGCAAATTCTCGCCAATAACCTCAGGCAATCAAAATACACAGGGTATCGTAGTTTCGCTGAAGCTATTGCACGGCGGACTCGGACAGGCGCGCCAAGAGCAACCGTTACTCTTTCAAGGCACGACAATCACGCGAAAAATGGGCTTTCCCGATGTCATCATGCCCGGCGATGTGCGTAACGATCTCTTTATCACGTTGGAACGTGCCGAGTTCGAACGTGGCGGCAAAAATACCGCTAAAAATATACTAACTACCGTGGTTGTGCTCGACACGGCTGGTAATATTTTAACGGAATGTTTGTGGGGCGCTTCGGGCATGGATTCACAGAGCTACTACAAATCTATGATATTGTATCATCAGAACTCACCATGTTGGAATGAAATGTTACGCCTGAGTGTACCCATCGATAAGTTCTCCGCCGCGCATGTGCGTTTCGAGTTCCGTCATTGTTCTACACGCGATAAATCGGATCCGAAACTCTTCGGTTTCAGCTTTGCGCGGCTTATGGATCCCAGTGGTGCGACACTCACCGATGGTCAACACGAGCTGTACGTCTACAAGTGTGAGGATTTGGCCAAATTGCATGCTGGTAATTATCTCAAATTGCCAAGCAAACCGAAGGATCCACACGCTAAAGTGGATTGCAGCTCCATATTCCATCGTAGTTCAAAGGAAATTTTTGTCATTAAATCACTTTTATGCTCGACGAAACTCACGCAGAACGCCGATCTACTGTCACTACTGCAATGGCGTACAAATCCCGAGACGATACAAGACTCACTAACGGGTGTGTTGCGTTTGAACGACGAGGAGCTGGTTAAATTCCTGCAAGATGTGCTCGATGCACTATTCGCCATGTTCTCCAATGAGGAGGGAAACAGCACCGAGCATTCGGGTCTGGTCTTCCATGTGCTCGTCAGCATTTTTAGCGTGTTGCAAAGCAACAAATTCCAACATTTTCGTCCCGTTATGAATGCTTACATCGAGAATCACTTCGCTGCCGCGCTCGTCTACAAGGGTTTGATTACTTCGGTTGAGCATATGGCTGTGTTTATGACCAAGGCCGAACATCCCGATCCATTCCAGAAATGCTTTAGTTCGCTAGAATATATTTTCAAATTGCTTATACAATCACGCAAATTATTTGCACGCGCTACCGGTGGCCAGTACGAGGACTCATTCCGCAGAGATTTGCACTCGCTTTTTACGGCGCTCAACGGTATGCTGGCAGTGCCATCCTACGATGTCATCATACCAACACAAGAGGCGCTGCTGAACTCTACCGGTGTGGTACTGGAGCAGTTGAAGGACACATTGCCCGCGCCGGAGTTAGGTATGTTGGCGCGCAATATGCTGGACGCCATACCCAGAGATGCGCCGGTACGTTTGGTACAGGCGAAACTAAACGCCGTTAAGGATCTGGTGTCTGGTGAGCTGTTTCACGAAGATGGTGAGTCGTGGAGCTCGGTATATAGAGCTTTTAATATTAAAAAAATATTTTAGCTTCTATTTCTTCCGAACTTTTCAACTAATTTTCCACTGTCTTCCACTTCTGCTAGACTCACGTACTGTCGTTCTCTCTGTTGCCTGCAAACACCTGCGCATGCACTTGGGTCGTCGCGATGAGCTACGCCTGTGCGCCGAAATAATATCGGAAATTCTCAATCACCTCTACGACTTGCAGCGTCAGCAGCGTGAAAAAGTCACAAACACTTTGCAACATGATCTGGATTCGCTGTGTAAAAACATTCTTGGCATACTCATAAAAACCATAAGCATAATGATGGAAGGTGCCAATACAGTGCTACCACAATTGGTCGCTTGCCTGCTGGGTCTGCTGCAGTTACTCGATGAAACACATTACAAGCACTACTGGGACGAGTTGAGTCCCAACAAGGATCCACGTGATTTGAAAGATTTTCTCAGCAAGTCTCTACTGGTCTTCGAGGAGCTGCTTTCACAGGATTGGCAAGTATTCCCAACCGATTGGTTGATCATGAAATTGGCTTGCAACGATGTGCTGCGCAAGGCCTTGGAGGAATTCGCCAAACCATTGGTTTATCGTTTTCTTGGTCCGCAATCCTTTGATTCACCACTTTGGTGGTCTTACTTTAGTTTGGCGGTAACATTTCTAACACAACCCTCACTGCAATTGGAAAAATATCGTGAACCGAAACGTAGAAAGATTTTGAATACTCATGGTGATATGCGCGTTCTAATGGGCTTCCAGATACTAAGCATGTGGTCACAGCTGGGCGAACAGAAATTACACTTCATCCCTTCAATGGTTGGACCGTTCTTGGAGGTCACGCTCGTACCAGAGCAGGCGTTGAGAAAGGCGACCCTCACGGTGTTCTACGATATGATGCAGTGCGAACAAGTAAAAATTTATTGGTTTGTAGAGATACAAAGCGTAAATATTACATTCATATTGTTTTTCAGAGCGCACGTGGTTCCTTTCGCTTAGTGGAAAGCGAACTTATCGATAAGTTGGATCTGCTCATCAGTGAAAATAAAGGCGATGATGAGTATCGCGAACTTTTTAGTACAATGTAAGCTCTCTAAAAAGAAAATTACAGAAAAAAACTTGTTTCAACTAGCATGCGCTATAGGCTGGAGTAAAAAAGCGTAGTTTTATACCCCACAATATGGTACAACCAATTTTCTTTACCTAACCGTGGTTTCTAGCACCTTAAAACAATGCAATAATAAATAATACATTAATAATTTTCGGAAGGTATCTCTGTCCAACCACCCTCCTAAAAATTCCGATATGTTGGTGAAGCTCGGTCCATAATGTGAAAGTGCGATAACTCTCAAACGAAAGAAGTCAAAAACACTAATGACTCGATCTGAACAGTTACATCGGAGATTGCACCGTTGCTTGAAACAATAACCCATACTAAATTTGATTAAGATATCTCGTCAGATGAAAAACTTTAGATACAAGCTCTTGATTCCGATCGTTCAATTTTTATGGTAACTATATGCTATAGTGGTCCGATATCGCCGATTCCGACAAACGAACAGCTTCTTGGAGAGAAAAGGACGTTCTAATTAGTATCTCAAAAACTGAGGGAATAGTTCGCATATATACAGACAGAGAGACGGACATATCTAAATCGAATCAGTTCGGCATGCTAATCATTTCTATATACAACGACGTCAACGACGTTTCCGTTATGTATTACAAACTTCGTGTCAAACTTAATTTACCCTGTTCAGGGTACAAATATCGGTAATTTTGCAAGATAATTATGACACTAAGTGCTCTATTCTCTTGATCTCGAAATGTTTTAGAGATTATTTTGTCTCTTACAATTTAACCTTAAAAATAGTCAGTTGATCAAAAACTTCATACTAAACCTTTGGTTTTCAACTTTTAACTATGTTAATATCGAGAATTCTGTGTATAACAAGTCCTGTACCCATTAGACTTTCACTCCAGCCTATTTTGCGCCGTTAAACTTTTTATATCGATGTTTGTATATGTATGTGTTTGTGTTTGTTTTTCAATTCTTCAGTTGTCCCTTTAAAACAAATTGTATATACGTAAATATATGCATATTTTATACTAATCATTATCATGTTAAATGTCTGTCCATCGCCTACAAATCGCCTATTAAAAAAAACATGTTAACAATGCATACAATTAATTAACTTAAAATGCAACCAACCCAACGAAGGGAACATCTAAGCTTGGTGTAAGTGAAAAATATCAACTCATATGCTGTCATCATTTTCTTTTGTTGTTGTAGTATACCTATTCTTTATGATTTGCTAACATTTCATTGTAAAATTCTATCATAAAATTATGTAAAGTATTTAATTCAACACAACTAAACGAGCGATAGCAAAAATTAAATTATTGATTTTGAGAATTAACCGTGCAATTATAATGTTAATGGTCGAATATATATGTATGTGGCTTGCTGATAAATTTTCATTAATAAAAAATTAGTTATTAATATATATCTTTTATTTTGTCGACTAATTTTTTTTTTAGAATTTAACAAATTTACATTTCCTAAGTAATATTTATTTTAACTATTTTTTTTTGTTTTATTTTCAAAAATCTCTATTTATCTTTAAAAAATAATGGTTTCCAAAATCACCCAATTTAGTTTACTTGAGAAAGTGCAATCGGAGAATCCCAATTGGAAAGACTCGGGCATTGCTTTCATAGCATCTGTGACGCGTTTATTGGAACGCCTGTTGGATTATCGCAGCGTTATGCAGGGTGAGGAAAATCGTGACAAGCGCATGTCTTGCACCGTAAACTTATTGAATTTCTATAAAAATGAAATCAATCGGAAAGAAATGTATTTAAGGTAAGTAAAAGGAAGATTAAATTTTCCACTACTCTCGTCATTTTTGTTATGCCATTTAATTGTACTAACCGGGAGCAAGAGTTTCACAACATAGGAGATGAAATAAATTTCAAATTTTCAAGAGTGTAGATATATTGTTCGCGTAAGCTTCTTACTGCATATTATACCATACCTCTGCTATCCGTACTCCTCTATTCAATGTCAGCCATCCAAAGTTTAAAGTTGTTGAAAATTTGTTTGGTCAGTGAAAGTGTATGAGGTGTTTATTTTTTCAGTAAAATGAAGTAATTCGCTTATAAATTTAGAAATTCTGCTATAAATTTCTAAATCGCTTGACATTCTCATCCTTCAGTTTGAAAATGGACGCGGTTGGCCACGCCTACTTCCCATAAAACACAATATTAGATTGCATGAAATCCGTTCACTTTGCAATATACTCCTATACATAAATCAAGCACCAATGAAGATGTCATAATAAAACTTTGAACTATAAATTTTCAAGCTCCCAAATCCCGAATATGAGAAACTCAGTGCATGTAGGTGACCTTGTAAAAAAATATGGGTCAATATGTAAGAATATCTGAATGAAATTAAGTGGACTTCTTTTCCTGACAGAATGTGATGTAGTGCTAAACGTAGTCAAAATCTGTTAATATAACCGATCTATACCCGATATATTGATTTTCGACTCTTCGTTTCACTTTATACCGAATTTATCGTTTAATACAAGTATGTGCGACATTTTGATAAAATTATTAAGTGGGCATGTTTTCTTGACCATGATGTAGTTTAGCGTCAAGTATGAAATAAATTATTATGTACTGACTTGGTCCAGCCAACAACCTTATACGAAATCATGATTGATTTTTTTTTTTTGCAGATATATCTACAAACTGCACGATTTGCACTTGCAAGCCGAAAACTATACCGAAGCCGGCTACACGCTCAAACTCTATGCTAATATGCTCAGTTGGGATCGGGAATCACTCTGCTTTGCGCCATGCGATAACACTGGTCAACCAGAGTGGCAGCGCAAAGAGCGGCTTTATCATGAGGTAAAGTACCCACTATATCCCGTTTGCTGTATATACATTGTAACTGCTCTTTTGCAGATTCTGAAATATTTCGATAAGGGCAAATGTTGGGAGAAGGGCATACCGTTATGCAAAGAATTGGCTGTGCTCTACGAGACACGTCGCTTCGACTATAATAAGCTCAGTGAAATACTTATTTTGGAGGCAAAATTCTTTCAAAACATCTTGACACAGTTGCGGCCGGAGCCGGAGTATTTCCGTGTTGGTTTCTATGGTTTGGGGTTTCCGCTTTTTGTGAGGGTAAGCGTTTTCTTTTTGGTGTTTTATTAATTATAATTTAAGTAATGTATTTTTATTCTTATATTTGCAGAATAAACAGTTTGTATATCGCGGCTTGGAGTACGAACGTATTGGTGCTTTTACACAACGCCTACAAACCGAATTTCCTACAGCACAGATATTGACCAACAACAGTCCACCCGACAACTCGATACTCACTGCACCAGAGCAGTATATACAGATCAGTAATGTACGGCCGGTTGGTGATGCGCAGGCGTTGAAGACGGCAATGGTGCCGGTACCGGAGAAAATTGCTAGATTCTATGAAGTGAGTATATTTATCTTTCTTACAAATTGAGCATTAATTTTTATTCCAAATTGCATGTAAAACCATTATTTTTTATTATCTCTTCAAGGTCAACGACGTCACGCGCTTCATCTATGATCGCCCTATTTATAAGGGTCCAATTGATAAGGATAACGAATTCAAATCGCTTTGGATCGAACGCACCAAACTCGAAATATCCAATCCACTGCCGGGCATCTTACGTTGGTTCGAAGTGAAACACAAGTCAGTGCACGAAATCACACCCGTCGAGTTCGCCTGCGAAACAATGAATAATGTCGGCAAAGAATTGTGGGATCTGATAGTACAGTACCGCAGCGAACCGAAACGTAATATAAATCCGTTCTCAATGCGTTTGCAGGGCATAATCGATGCCAATGTAATGGGCGGTATTAGCAAATATCAAGAGGCGTTTTTCTCCGAACAGTTCCTCAAATCACCACAAGGTCACGGGCAACAAGCGAATGTGCAAAAATTAAAGGCGCTTATATTGGAGCAGATACAAGTGCTGGAGCAAGCCTTAGAACTGCATGGCACACTGGCGCCACCAGGCGTACAACCGCTACACAATCGTTTGCTCGAACGCTTCTCACAGCTGAAACAAAGCCTATCGGGACTGGGTCGTTTGAAGCGTCAACATTCAGAAAGTATAGTTAATACACCACTGCCACCACTTCCAACGGAAAATCGCACTATGAGCCTGGGTAATCCCAATACAAATGCTGGATCCTCAAATTATTATGGTGTGTACGAGCATGATGATATTTACACGCGGCCAGGTGACACACTGCGTCCAGTTGAAACTGCAAATGCATTACTTATAAATAATTCATACCAAATGTTAAGCAATGAGAGCATGAGCTCAGCGGAAATTACGCGTGACAAAGTGCCACCGGTGCCGAATCGACCACGTTCACAAAACTTCATGGGTAGCATGGATGGACCAGAGGTGCCACCCAAACGTAATACGAATCAGCCGGGATCACCAAGCGCGCCACCGCTACCACCGCGTGGCATAACACCCGACAAACGCGCTTCAAATCCAATTACAATAAATGATTTCACGAGTAGCCAATACCCTACCGCTGGCTCCATGCCTCGTCGCCCACTATCGGCTCACCATCAACAGCAGCAACAGCAACATGAGCACGGTCAAAAGTATTCTGTCGTGGATATAAGTTTTGACGATCCCGAAGCTGATCAACCACCACACTCTCTAACGAGTGTTGGCGAGACGCAACAATTGAATGTGGTCGGTTATGGCCCAAATGATTTTCGTGATTCCGGCATTTCAACGACAAGTTCACACGAGCTGAATAACTTGAATAATCTAAGCGAAGAGTCATCAAGTAATTCCCTAAGCACCGTGCATCATCGCGATCACTGTCGCATGGCATCGAATGGCAGCCTCGACAGCGCCTACACGATCAACGCAACACTCAATATAAATCAACGTGAAAACTCCGCGAATTCCTTTGATATCGAAGATCTGCCAATGCCGCCGCCACCACCTATACCACCCAAGTCATTGAATATTGTTCAGAACACGACGGATTCCTCTTCACTCGACGATCAGCATTCGCCATTACCCAAAGCAAGTCAAAATCAAAATCATACCACAATTAACAATCATACACACGCACATCTACCACCTCATCCACATCATTTGCAACAAAATTGCAATCATAATCATAGCAATACGAATCGCCAGACGAACGGCATCAACACGCTCAACGACGGTTATACGACACCCAAAGCGCATGACGCCGGCAGCGTCGAGAATGCTACCGCCAAGGAAACGCACAATGATGGCGGCACTTTTTGAGTTGCAATATGTCGCTGCCATCAACCGGTACTGAGACCCATTGCGCCACTACCGCCGCCCTCTGGTACAACGACTGAGACCGAAACTGAGACTTCATCAACCACAACAACAACACCAACGCCTTCACCAACACCAACACCACCATCACCACCGCCGTTACCGCTGCCCTTGCTCCGCACACATACCACACACATTGCGCACACCGCCGGCCAAACCTTACGCCGGCGGCCATGCGAAATTACAATACCAAGTGCCAGCACAAACGCAAGCAAAGCTGCCACCACGGTCGCCACCTCATTACCGCTACCCACATGCACAAATCCATTGCATGCATCATCATCATACATACATCAGCACTACCATCATTTCAATAGCGTTCATTATTGTCATGACTGCCTCTCCTCACCCTCACCACCACCACCACCACCATCACTACTAGCGACATCATCATCAGTAGTTGCTGCTACCATAACTGAGCAGGCAGTGGTGCATGCATCCTCGTCTATGTCCTCATTGGCGACACCACCCCCCTTGCCACCACTATTACCGCTTCCAAAGCCATTGGCCCAAATTCAAGATGCGTCGTCTGCGCCTTTACTGGAACATTGTTCCTGTGGCTTGACGTTCACCGTGGAACCGGAGCCTGTCTACGAATTGTCGCCGCGTGCGGTACACTTTGAATCCCCCATACAGTCCACCCTATACGGCAGCCAAAGTGTATATAGTAGTAGTAGTAATGTGTATGAGTACGAACAGTCGACAACAAACGATTCAAGTGAAGATTATGTGAGCAAAGTGCAAACTCAAACCACACATATTCATGCACACTGTTGCCAACACGCGCAGAACAACGCGCATGCGCAAACTGAATTCGACTATGAACAGCGATGATGATGTTGATGGTACTGAGACGAGACGCATGTAATGCTCATTGTTTTGTTGCAAATCAAATTGTAATTCAAATATTCTAACTATAATCGATACCAAACCAAATTACGCCAAACGGCATTTAGATATATATATATATACATACAACAAACATATATGCAAATGAATTGGAATATACTAATCATATATTGTAAGACACTAAGATGAAGCGCAACACGTTTACAGTTACTAGTTGCGAACGCGCGAGCAACTTTTACTAATGTTGTACTTTAGCAGTAACGGATGAATAACTTTAATTATAATTGCGTTCGCATGTCGAAAATTTGTAAAATATATATGTATGTAGGTAACCCAAAGTCTTCTAAGTAAATACACACATACATGCATATGCATTGGAATTTTATAATATTAAAGTAGTTATTATGAAAAAATGTTTATTTGATTTTTTTTTTTTAATCGTCTTTAACCTCAAATAATATCTCATAATTAGCTTAGTTAGGTACTCATATACACATAATATAGCAACAACATTTATCACAACATCTTTTATCGCGGCAGAAAACCTGCCTACAATAACTTTGAGGAATGTTTTCGACAGTAATGTAACTGGAACAGACCCGAACTTTTATCTTCAGTTCTTTGCACGATATTAGCCCGCGTCTATTCCGTTATTTAAATCCAACTCTCATAGAAACGCTGAACTTATTACCGTTTACTCGTTTAAAAAGTAACATTGAAAAACTACCCAAATAGTGGTATAACTTCTAAAATAGTGTTAAATAATACTTCGGTTTTCTTTCAACTTGTTTCCACGATCACTTTGTAATAGTATTATAAAAATTTTTTTATTTTTTTTGTTATTTTTCCATTAATTTGAAATTAGTAAATAAGTGCATAAAAATGTGCGGTTTTTGTAGACATTACATAGTCAAAAAATTTATTTTTCTAGAAAAGTTGGAACTTCGTGGACCCTACTGGGAAACTTTTCAGAAGCACAGCTAGTATTCGAATTTCGAAAAATTGAATCATTTTGTTACTGCATAATTCGATAGTCTATACTTTGAAAGATAAATAAATATTAAATGTAATTTTAGCGGTCCAAAAGGAATGTCATAATAACTTTTTTTTTAATCTTAGGTCATTGTATTATATATGCAGTATGTAGTACTGTTACAAAAAATAAGTGATAATTTTAAGGGCAAAGTGCAAAATGGGAAACATGATATATTGAACATGATGATAGATTTGAATACGATCATAAATACATTTTAAAACACATTATTTATAAATATTCCTGGATTTCAAATTGTACTATGGTCATAGGAAAAGCTTATTGTAACGGTTGTCTCTCGGAAGATAAATGTCAAATCACTGACAGTATAATCTGTATGATTGTTTTATTTATACTCTAATTTTAAAAAAATATATATTTATTGTGCGCGGTAAGTTTTCAAGCACAGTCGGTAGGATTTTATTGTAGTGATCACGTACGAATTCAAACTTATAATTTATTTTAAAATTTAACAGATTTTCAGAATGACAGGTCATTTCCATTAGTTAGTCAGCTTATCAGTTGTAGGGCGAAGGTTTATATTTTATTTACTATCTCCATGTCAAACATTTTGTATGAGTAACCAGAATTGAACCAACTACAAGCATACACACATTTGTCAGGCTTCTTTGTCGCTAATATTTTACGTTAAGTGGTTTATGAGAAATAGTTTTATGTAGTAATTTTACAAACAAATATTGGGAAATATGAAATATTTGAAAAGAGCTTAGGTTTGAGTTTGGCTTGATATTGAGTCTGCTGAAAGTACATATATACAATTATAAACCTGGCTGTTGCTGTTGCCATCGCTATAAAATGTCCTAATAGTAGACCATAGGCGGGCGAAATGGGAAAATTAGCTCCCGTTCCCACGACAGTCGGGTCTACGTAACCGGAACGGACCCGGATTTATTCCGGCCAAGGACTGTCAACTTGGCAGAATTCTGTCGCTACAACAACAGAAAATTAGTTCCAAATATTTTTTGTTGTAAATTACAAAAAAAATCTCAGTTACAATATTGATCTAAAAACATAAGTTTTAACCTGTACTAACGGTAAATAATATTTTAAATGTACAAAGAAAACACGCAAACACAAAATAGCGCTGAGCAAGAAAATTAAAAAGAACTTTTGAAAAAAAAAATTATATTCAAAAACTAAAATCCCTAACAAACAAAAAACAAACCCGCAACGAATATTGAAATGATTAAACGAATATTTTACTTATGATATTACATTTTTGAAAACCCACAAAAGTGCATAAATACATACAAACACACAAAACACGAAAAAAGTAACTAATCGAAGCGCAAGAAATACTAACTGCCATAGAATTGCGAAAAGCGAATTGAACTTTATACATATACATATGTATTTACTAAATACTAATTACATAGGTACATGAGTACATATCTATGTACATACTTCCAATCTACGTGGTTACATTCAATTATAAAACTAGCCTGATGATATTAATGTGAATTGTGACAACAACAAAACTAAATAAATAAACAGAAAAAAGCATAAATATTACATACATACATACATACATATGTATGTACATAGACTTGTGCATAAATGTTGAAATTTAAAGTTGTGAGTAAAGCAAATTATTGCGATAACGAAATCAAAGTTCTTCTAACAATTAAGCAAAGACAACAAATCAAAAAAAGTTAAAAACAGAAAAACCAAATCAAAAAGTAAAAACGAAAAACTTGCTAAAAAAAACAAGTTGAAACGTAATCAAAACACCAATCAACACATTTTATATAACCAATAACAAAGTCAATACATATATATTATATATTAACTTTAATTAGCATATATAATAGCAAACTATTGAAAGATGACGACAAAATATTGTTAAATGGCAATGCGAGTATCTCACTAAGCAATTGCGAGTGCGCAATATACATGAAATGTGCATACATACAGACATGCATGCGCGTACATTTGTATTTACATATGCTATTTATATATACACTGATATGTAACATGTAAGTCATGCTGCGAAATTATTGTAAATGCAAAAACTTCCATTTTTCCATAAATAAAATGTATGCCCACTTGGCAACATTGTAATTTAAACGGATTTACCAAAAATGGCTTAAGCTAAATTTATACTTTTTTATGCAAATAAGTTTACAGTACCCTTTAGAGGTTATCTTACTTGTTGTAATTTGTATATTTTTCACTTTTAGAACTTCTTGATTGATATTTCTATATACGCCGACCGACTAGTCATGAGTCTTCGATACAAAAAATAATTGCAAAATCTCAAATTATGATTATTTCTAAATACAAATATTAAATATATATTAAATATTTTTTTTTTTAATTTAAAATAAGTGTAAAGCTGTATTATTATTTAAAACTGTGTGTATTTAGGTTATTTAACGTATATTTGTATGTAAATATATATTCCCAAATTAAAATATAGTATAATCGAACGAAGAAATTTTGTTTGTATGTTGTGGGGGATATTGGTTATACGTGGCGTGCTCAAAGAGTTCAAAGTGAAGTGACTTGACGTTTTTCAAAAAAAAAAGTTTTTTAATTAATAATATAAGTATGATTCATTCAACTTAATCTTCCGCAGTTGAAATCAGGGTTGCACATAATACATTAAAAAAAAGTAATTCAATTAACATTTGAATTTGATTTTTTTTTTTGTATTTTGTAATCGAAAAATCTGAATGAAAGATATTTCTTAAATTTTTAATCCCTAATACCAGATTGACTACAAAAAAACAATTTAATCCCATATACCGGAATGAAAAATAAAAAAAAATAAAATTTAAAACCAAAAATCGGATTAAAAACACAAATTAAAAGTAAAAAAAAGTTATTTTTAATCCGATTTTCGGGTTTTAAATTAATTTTTTTATTTAACAAAATCAAATAATTTAATCCCAAGCTTATAATTAACAAGCAAAAATGTTAACTTCGGTTGCGCCAAAGCTATAATACCCTTCACAAATACAAAGGACCCTTACAAGAACTTGATTCCGAACGTTCAATTTGTATGGCAGCTATATGATATAGTGATCTGATCTGACCAATTTCTGTGGAGAATAATTTGTTGCCTTAAGCAATAACTCGTGCCTAATTTCGTGAAGATACCTCGTCAAAAAAAAAAATTTTCCATGCAAGAGCTTTACTCCGATCGTTCAGTTAATATGGCAGCTATATGCTATAGTCATCCGATCTATACAATTTCTTCGGAGATTAGATCAATGCTTTAAAAAATAATACACGCCAACTTTCATGAAGATACCTCGTCAAATGAAAGAGTTTTCCATATAAACACTTGATTCCGATTATTCAGTTTGTATGGCAGCTATATGCTATAGTGGTCCGATATCGGCTGTTCCGACAAAGAGAGCAGCTTCTTGGTAAGAAAAAGACTTGTTCGAAATTTCAGATCGATATCTCAAAAACTGAGGGACTAGTTCGCGTATATACAGACGGACGGCCGGACAGACGGACATGGCTAAATCAACTCAGCTCGTCACGCTGATCATTTATATATATACTTTATATGGTCTCCGCCGTTTCCTTCTGGGTGTTACAAACTTCGTGGCAAACTTAATATACCCTGTTCAGAGTATAAAAATTTTAAAATTAAACTTTTTAGAATTTAGATGCTTTTGCGTTTGCGTATTTCGCGTTCTATAAGAGATAAAATTCTTGAGAAGAAAAGATTATTTTCAAAAATGCCGACATATTTTGGTTCTTCTTGCCATATATATATTTAATTGCTTTTAATTATAGTGTTTGAGTTAGAAATATGTTCCTTCTTTTTTCTCGTTCTTTTTTATCTTAAATAAATAAAATATACTGCAAATTATAACCTAATACTTAAAATTAAAAACATTATTTTTAATCCCAAACATTTTGGAAATAGAAAATATGAAATAAAAATTTAATATTTAAATCTGATTTGAGAAAAAATGGGTTTGAAATATTTGTCTCCTTGATTCTTTGTTGTTGTTGATGTAGTGACAAAAAAACGTTTCACAAAATTTTTTGAGAAAGGTTGCTCGGTTGATAGTCCTTGGCCGAACAAAAACCAGGATCCGTTTCGCTTACGTAAACCCGACTGTAGTTTTGGGATTATTCCTCCTACTCAAGCGGTTGCAAGGCGTCGAAGTACATCACACCACCTACATTTCTATGGAGGCGAGATCGATATTGATGTTATTAGTAGGACAAAATCTTTCAAATTCATTTTTGGTAGGGGTATAAGCTTTCTTTTGTTAAACTAACTTTGGAAGACAACTACTTCATCATACTTATCATTTATCGCTGGTCATTCATGAAGAATCCGAAATGTGGAAAATCGTTTAAACATGAAAAGTCGAGAGAATTAGTCTAATTTTTCTTCTTTCGCCTTTCATCCATTTGACGCTCGATCTTGCCTGCGTTGAAACCCTGCATCACGAACTAACTTCGAACTCTTCCCGACAAAGATACGGTAATGCATTTATTGATTGATTTAAGTTGATCGTAAGTCATTATGTCAAAATATGAACGTTCCGCACGGACCCGAATTTTTATGCTGCCAACTTGGCACCTTTCCTCGTAATTTCGAGAAGGAATATTTTTTGTCGATACAACACCAAAAACGGATGATGTTGCAACTGTAATCACCCAATACTAATTATTTTCTAAACAGATCCATTTAACTTAAATTCATTTTTGTATTAGAAAAGTGCTTTAAGAATAAAAAAAAAGTATGTATTAATATTTAACATGAAGATGAATTAATTTTTGTTAATGCCAGTTAACTCTTTAAGATTGTTTATTAAATATTTATTGTACTCCTTGTAATCCAATGGTGCGACAGATTGTACTGTCAGCTTATTACGTTGCATATCCTGAAAAAATTATGTAATTAAAAAAAGCTAAGTAATAATAAAAACAGCGCTGTGCTTACACCAAATTGTTCCATTTTGCTGCGCAATTTAAATATGTACGAATTGAAGTTGATAGAGGAGAGAACCTCTTCACCTTCTGGTGGATTATTTTCGAGTAGATCGCCGATTTCCTGTGCCGAACGCTTCAACAGTTGTTCACCCACTTCGCTGAAGCAAGTGACCCAACGATTTGATGTCCAATCGCCAATGCTCATCTGACAGGGGGAAAGCAAAACATTTTACACATACATATGAACAATAATAAAATATGCAACACTGGCATAATTAAATTAACTTACATTAATTAATAGTCTGTATTTGAAGTTGGGAAAGACGGCATTACAACGCTCGCAACGATAATGACCGTTATTTTCGTCGATAACCTTTTTGTTGCAATCCGCTTGCGGGCAAGCCTTGTAGAATGCATTCTGACATTTAACTATATGTACAACAGCTTTGCATTGGAAATAATCTGGCTTGTCGCCAGCGCCTAAATTTCGACTGCGTGCCTCATGAAACGTTAACCACTCGGTGCTAAAACCCCCGCCAGCACCACCGGTTCTAAATTTTATGGATTACATCATATAAGAAAAAGCAAAATAATTTTAAGTAATTTTCTCAAACAACAAACCTGGTGGAAATCATATTTGAAATGTGTTCCCCGCCACCGTTATCGAACCAGCCACGCAGCTTATGACCTTCCGATATGTCCGGGTTTATTTTCATAACCGATCCATTGCCCATGCTTATACTTTTACCGCCATTAAATTCAGTCACGCGTACACCTTTGACTAAAATCACTGGCTGCACGTAGCCATCGAAGTTAACAGCATCCTCGCCCCACAATGTTAAATTCACCTAAAAATTGATTATAGCCACATAGTTACTCACATAATTTTATTAAATTTTTTTCTTGATTTGAGCTTACAGCAGCATTGCTGGAGTCAACCAGTGTCAATTCACGCTTTTTGAATTCCTTATTCGTAGTGCGAGAGGTAAATGTTTGTAATTCCCCAACTTCTTTGCAAATACCAATTGTATCTGGAAAAGAAGTGGGTGCAGTGTATTTTACCAATAGTTTCGCATATTATTACTTACCAATACTTGTACGAGCCTCTAGGTTCACTAACTCAGATATGGGGACCAAATCGTATTTAATTTCTGGTATATCATTGTCATCTTCCTCGCATGCTTGGATTTGTGTTTCGCCAGTTAGTGTCATTTCATAATCATTTTTCAACGTGGTAAACTGTTTATTCGCAGGCTTCAGCTGGCATTTCGATATATAGTAAACACGGTCGACTTCAATTATATCATAAAATTTCTCAGCTTGTTCACGAAACGCTGTTGCGCGTATCTCTCCAGATTCATCCATTAGATCCATACTAAAAAGTTTACCTTCACCCTTTGCATTACTCCAAGTGCGCATTGGACCTTTTGCCGTGACACGCGCTTTAATAACCCATTTATTTTGATATGGACTTAAGCTGGAGATGGGATGAGTTAATCCCGCGGTCAATGATTGGTTCAATGTGTTATTATTATTGTTGTTGTAAAGAGTAGGCTTAGTATCCGCTTTCTTTGCAACGCTCTTTGCTGAAGGTTTCGTAACAGCACTACTGTTGTTTGCACTCGCTTTATTACTTTGTGCTGCGGCTTCTTCGGTATATGAGACTGGTGTACCTATCTTTTTACCAACTTCAGTCCCCGGATTTAACACACTTAATTCGAGTATTATGAGCACACGCCTTCGAAGAATTTATTTGTTAAAATAAGTTGTAAAACATATGTTCATATACATACTTTCCAGCATCCTTGCCGTTGACAACTGATGTTATGTATTTGTCTACTCGAACTATAGTATATTCCGAGAGTTTACCTTCTGCATGTAAATGATTGAGTTGAGTTGCTAACATGGAATAACTGTTGATAAATTTTCCATCTGAAATTAGTAAACGCAAACGATCGGTTTCACCGCCAGTAATTTTCTTTGTACCCAGAATTTGCAAAACAGGCTTATCTACTTCCTCGCCTCGCATAATGCGCTAAAAAATTAAGTGAATAAAATTATTTACATGTGTATCAATGCATTTTCTTTTATTTCACAATGACCGAACGGAAATTTTACCTCTATAACGCCAGTAGATAAAGGAGCTATGCCCGTCATAGTTTAATATATTTTTCTTTCTTTAATGAACAAAAATTTAACTATAATTAGTTTCAATTGTTTTTTATTTTCCGAAAAATTTCTTAAATATTTAGTCTTACAAAAATTTACAATATTTTTTGCAACTTCTGTAGAAATTCGCAGACGCTGTCAATCGATTTTAAAACAGGCGGGAATACGCATTTAGTATTCACTATAGAATGTACTAAAAGTTATGAAATGTTCGCATTAAGCAAATTTAAGATTATTATGTTTATATCTAATAGTCATCGAACAAAATTTGTTAGAAGTTTGTCAGTGAATACTAAAAAAAAAATTGATTAATTCTAAAACATCTTTATATATGTGGTTAGTTATACATATACATATATTTTTTCCGATTACTCTTGTAAGGACCATAGCGATATAAGTTAAATTAATAAATGTTGTTAGTTAATCAGTAATAAATTTGATATACTTCATTGGTCGCGCTTAGTGAAAATTCCATAATCAGGGAAATTTTTTTCATGGTTGTCACTGCTACAATAAGAAAAGCCTCTCAGTTAAATGAACTTGTTCATAAACCTATTCTAATATAAAAACATTCTAAACGGTGAACCATATGTTTAAATTTATCGTGAATGGCTGCAAGTGCTGTAGTTAAGAGGAAGGGAATATTTACCGAAAACAAAAGTAAATTTTTATACGAATAAAATTCGATAGACAGTGTTTTTAGAAGTCTTAGAAATGGTAATTATTTATAAATGAATAAATATATCGTTTTCAATTATAATATTAATAACAACTTTTACATTACAGGCACGTAATGCTGAGAAAGCAATGTAAGTATTTTTAATTTTTAACGTGTATGTAAAAATATAATGGACGTCTATTCCGTTGTCAGGACGACATTAGCGCGTTGGCGCGCAGCTAAGGAGGCCGAATCTGGAGAAAAAGATAGACGACCATATCTAGCTTCAGAGTGCACGAGTTTACCAAAATGTGAAAAATATCGCCTAGAGATCATACGCGAAATATCTAAAAAGGTAGCGCAAATACAAAATGGTTAGTTAATGTTTGTAGTTGGAGTAAATGGTAAAGTGATTTTTACGTGTTCAAATTTTTAGCCGGTTTGGGTGAATTTCGAATACGAGATTTGAATGATGAAATAAATAAGTTACTGCGTGAAAAGCGGCATTGGGAAAACCAAATTTCTGCTTTAGGTGGACCTCATTACCGGCGATATGGCCCAAAGATGTTTGACGCAGAAGGACGTGAAGTTCCAGGAAATCGCGGCTATAAATATTTTGGTGCTGCAAAAGATCTACCCGGAGTACGTGAACTATTTGAACAAGAACCACCAGCACCACAACGAAAAACACGTGCTGAGCTGATGAAAGATATAGATGCAGAATATTATGGTTATAGAGATGATGACGACGGGACGTTAATTCCGATGGAGGAGCGCATTGAACGTTTAGCCATACAAAATGCTCTACAAGAATGGAAAGAAAAAATGACCCGTGATGGTCATGTTGACGAAGAAGAAGAAGAGGAAATATATGGTTCATTAAAAACATTCTCTGATGATAACGATGATGACGCTGAAACACGTAAAATAGTATCAAATACAGAAGTTGGAAATGATCCTTTGGAAATGTTAGCCCCGCGCTTCACCGCACATGTACCCGTACCAACGCAAAAAGATATTGAGGAAGCACTTTTGAAGAAACGCAAACAAGAATTGCTTGAAAAATATGTAGGCAGTGAATAAAGTAGTTATGGGTCAAAACTTAATAACTTTGTTATTATTTAAATGGCAAAATATATTTAATTCATCTTGAGATAGTATTTTTTACAACTATAGTTGAATATGCAATTTTGTTCCACTTCATGAGTTTAAAACCTAACCATAGCAGTTTGGTGTAGATTTTGATATGTTAAGTTTATTTGTATTCGTATTAATATACTACATAAATATTCCATGATCTATCCCACAAAAGATGTGATAAAATAATACTTTGTTTAGTGGATCCTTGAGGTTTTTATCCCTTTTTTTATAGAGTTGGCATTACTTTTTGGTAAATTTCATGGTTGTCAAACATGGGAGTCTTCTTCTTCTTCTCAAGTAAACAGCGCAGTAGAAGAATAGAAGGAAAAATTTGTCATTTCGCATCTGGTGTAAAGAAAAAAGTGTAATAGTGAAAAAGGCTGCGACAGAGCAATTAATAGTGAAAATTTATATAAATCTATACGAAACCCGTGATCAATATGCTAGCATTAATAAACAGAATACTGGATTGGTTTAAGAGCATTTTCTGGAAAGAAGAAATGGAATTGACGCTGGTTGGATTACAATTTTCAGGCAAAACAACGTTCGTGAATGTTATTGCAGTGAGTATTTTACGATAGTGCGTGTGCGAAATCATTTTCTTAACCACCCACTGTTGTACACTAGCAATTCTAAACACTTAAACATTCGTTAATGTCCACACAAATAATCTACGTTTACAGTGACAACCTAAGACAATCCCATTTTTTCTTTTTCGGCAAGCGAAAAAGATCCCCTATGACCAGCAACTAACGGCACTCCCCACCGAAATTTTTTCATTAAATATGCCTTTACTGCTCATTATAGTATTTGCTGTTGCTTTGCGTCACTGCCCCCATAACTATGGTTATACTTTGCAGCTATCAAACTACAAACATTCGGGAAATTGTTTTGTGATTTGTTTATCTGCTTTTATTGTAATTCACACTTGTACTAATTATGACTGGAGATTACCTTACTACTTAGCTACTGCAAAACAGACAATGTGAAGCTAATGAAATTATTAATATGAAAGACGATTTTAATAGAAATCAATAAACTGTCATCTGATCGCACATGACCCCCTCTCCACTAAAACACAATTGCTTATTTAACACGCCGTTTTATTTGTTGAGTTTAACTTTATTTAATATATATATGCAACTTAAAAAAAAACTCAAAAGAGCTAACAATTTGTCTACATATTAAATGGTATTTAGGAAATCTAATCAAACATTGCATTGGAATACATATGTATAAAATGTATATTGTTATATTTTGTATTGATTTGCAATGTAATATAATCATTGGAATGGTTGCAAATGCTTACAAATAATTAAGTTCATATTCTTAGTTCTATCAGGCGATTGGGGTAATAAACTTTTAAGGTTTGCCAATGACTCATGTAGTGTTGTTACATTTGTTGGTGATAACATAAAGCAGTAAATATAATCCATTGTGTATATGTAGATTTGTTTGTATTTAAATACAGTTGCCACTGTTGATCTCAATTACCTACTTACAATGCTGCATATACTAATGTACGCATGATTTTACGTACGTATATATATATGTACATACATACTAAAGCTGTTAGTTACATGTACTTGTATAATGCTTAATATTTTACTTTCCAGTCTGGACAATTTGCCGAGGATATGATACCGACTGTTGGTTTCAATATGCGTAAAATCACCAAAGGCAATGTTACTATTAAAGTTTGGGATATCGGCGGGCAACCGAGATTCAGATCGATGTGGGAGCGATACTGTCGCGGCGTAAATGCTATTGTGTAAATACTCTATTGATTATTTGTGATTTGTGAAAATATTCTGACAACTGTAACAAAATTTAGATATATGGTGGATGCAGCTGACTTGGATAAAATGGAGGCATCTAGAAATGAATTGCATTCATTGCTAGACAAACCGCAATTAGTGGGTATACCTGTGTTGGTGCTAGGCAATAAACGCGATCTTCCAGGCGCACTTGATGAAACCGGCCTAATTGAGCGAATGTAAGCGTAATTTATACGTTAGAAGCGTGTTAACATATGAATGTTTGAAATTTTCAGGAACTTAGCAAGTATACAAGACAGAGAAATTTGCTGTTACAGCATTTCATGTAAGGAAAAGGACAACATCGACATAACGCTGCAATGGTTGATCGCACACTCAAAAAGCCAAACCCGTTAGAAAATTATGCCTATAGTTTACTAGTGCTGTTGCTGTAGAAAGCAAAATTTATGTGGCGTGAGCATAATTTATAAGACAATGAAAATAACAATTAATAATTAAAACGAACAACAACAAAATGATAAAAAAAAACCTTAGAAACTGCAAAACAATTCGGCATTTTAATTAAACAAAAATAAAAATTCATCGCTACACTTTGTATGAACCAAATGAGATAAATGTGTGCAGGTATGATTTCGCATAATGGTACACAATGTATTCGCTTAAAGTGAATTAACAAAATTGAAATTAAGACAAAATTACAACTGTAGAAAACCACAAATTATTATGCTAAAAATACATTTCCAATCGTGCATTTGTGATTAGGAAGCTACACCTTAAAAGCTGTATTCGAACAAATTGAAAAGAGAAAAGTGTGGTGAAAATTGTTTTTGCACGTTTAGCTCATTTAGTACAAAATAACGCAAACAAATTTAAATTCAAAAGTTAATAAAATTTGTAAAATGCAATACAGCAATTTTTTTTGAACATGCACTGAATTTAATATATGTATAATTTTTAGTTTAAAGCTCATTTGTCCACTTCAATGTCTCAATTCTTAAGTTTAGTAAAATCTAAACAAGAATAGTTTTCTAGCGCTCGGTGTGATTATAAAATATTATATACATATATATATATATTATTTACATTTAAATGCTATTTTTAGAAATTTCATTTATATTTACATATGTATATTTATAATTCGAATTATACATTTTCTCTTACGAAAGTTCGCGCGTCTATATTGTTTTTTTTTTATAACCATAATAAGCGCAAACTGGTGGCTAATAAAATAATATTAACAAATGAAAATAAGCCAACTATAATCGCAAGACACTTCGAGAAGTGCATTACTACACGTTTGATATCGAAATGTGAAACACAATTATTAAGCATTGTTTATTGTATGTATTTAATCACGTTATAAAAGGAAAACCGAAAGAAAAAACAACTCATGTAAAAAAAAACAAACAGCGATCTGCGTTATATTGTTGTCTTTTATTATTTAGCATGTATATGTTTGTGTGTATGTACACGATTTTTTAAACAGTGTGCATATGCTGTTGCCACACACTATGAATTGGTTTAAATAATTTAGTCATCAACATTTCCTACATTTACACAAGAACTCATAGCATAGTGTTTAAAACATAAAAAGTTCTCAAAAGATAGTAATGCTTAGTAATAACAAAAAAAGGTAAACAAAAGTGTAAACAAAACGATTATATATGAACAATTCTAAGTAAAATAAATAACTTTAAACAATAACTCACTTTTTTCCACTTAATAAAAAAAAACTAATAATTTACTAACTTATGAAAAAGAAATATTTTTAACAGCGGGTGTCAAGAGTTTCTAATTTTCTAAAAAAAAACAAAAAACCCTCGCGCAACTTCGTTCTGGATACTGTAGCAGGTTAAACTCCTACCTATCCAGAATAGACCCTGACATACTAAACACATGTCCAGCATGCAATGAGTCTCCGCATGACACTAACCACCTCTTTGCATGCCCTACAAACCCCACTCATCTAACACCCCTTTCCCTATGGTCCGACCCCGTCGAAACAGCTCGTTTCCTGGGCCTTCCGTTAGATGACCTCGACGACAACGAATCTAGAATTTATCACCCAAACGGGGATTAGATAATCGTTATAACAACAACAACAACAGTTTCTAATTTTGTTTTGTTTTTGTTTGTCAACTCGGCAGAATTCTGCAGCTACAACAACAACAACAGCTTCTAATTTTTATATCCTGAACAGAGTACATTAAGCTACCCACGAATTTTGTAACATCCTCAAAGAAATGTCGCAGGCCCTATGAAATATATACATAAATGATAATGATCGATCTGAAATTTTATACACGTCTTTTTCTCCTCAACAAATTGCTCACTTGCTGGAACCACTGATATCGAATCACTATAGCATATGGCTGACATTATAACTTAACATTTTGTATGGAAACCATTTTTATTTGACACGAATTCTTTAAGAAATTTGGCATGGATTATTTGTCAAGGTAACGATACAATCTCCAAAGAAATTGTTCAGATCGGACTACTACAGCATATACATATATAACTGAACTTTCAAAGGCAAGATTGTGTATGGAAACTTTTATAACGTTTTTTCTTCTCTTCTGAAATTATGCCGCTGCTTTATAGAATTTATTAAATTTTATTTATTTACCATCTATCTGTTTTTATTCAGTTGAATATTAATTTATTCCAAGGCATGTGATATCTTCCTTGATTTATTAGTTTTTCACGAGTTTTTTACTGGGTTTTTATAAGAATGTATAATGTAGAATTTGTTTAGACAGGCAGTTAGCATTTGACCTCTTCGTTCAACGACGTGCTGAATTCTAATTAGAGGATCATAAATTCAAATAATTGTATAAAAATTAGCTAAAATAATAAATATTTAAGTTTAATTTATCTAAATAATTAATTCTTTATAGTTTGATATACTAGTTTATAATTTTTTTTTTACTTTCATAATTTTTTGTTACTAATCTTATTTTACTTTAAAAATACATTGATGCCCTTGCAAGACAAAAAAACCTTTTTTGTTAATTTTTAAGAGGCATGTTATTTAATGAATTAATAAATATATAAAAAAAATTCACACGTACAGAATTTAATGTACTTTAATAATCAGTGATTTAGTTTGAAAACTTTTTGATTTCTTTGATTTCTTCCAAAACAAAAACTGGTAGTTTTGTGTGAAAAAATTCACAATTAATTTTATCTCCAAATTATTATTTCTTCGATCAAAACGTCACAAAGATAACTATAAAAGTCGCGATAGAGTTTCAAGAAGATCTGTCGAGTCGTTTTGAAGAAATTTTTCTCACCGACTCTGAAAACAGTGTTTCGAGAAAAACGCGTTTAAAGTTTTGGGTGCGTGCGGATTACAAGAGTTACAAAATTCTCACAAATTCGCTCATATCTCCAAAACTATTTGCCAAATCAACTTAATCCTTTCGGATAATATTTTCAAATATTCGACATACCATATAGGCAAGAAAAAAACCCGTCTTGTTGAAATTGTTCAGTGGATAACCTCTGAACGCGCAACCATTATTTAAGCCGTTTATATAAAACATAAATGTAAAACGCATTACTGTGGATGCAAATACATAAGCATGTTTTGTGAAAGTCACTTCTATGCCACCCATATAGTGCAATGTCTGCCAATATGTGTAAATTCAGGAAGCCAACATCTTTTTGACACAAACTGAGGTGCATTTACAACAGCCTTGCCTATGACATGTCTTTAAATCACTAATTATGTATGCAGGTAGCAGTGTTGCCTCTGCCCAATTCTAGGAAATATTGAGCTGCACATACACTCACACAAACTCACCGGTTGTTGCTATGTTCCGAGGCATCGGGATACGGTGGGCGATTTGTTTGTGTGCATAACTTTGACTGAGTTGAGCTCATAAATATTTTTCTAATGTTTAATGAAGGAATTTAGGTGTAAGGCTTTTCCGTTCTGTATATGATTATAATAAATATGGTATATTCATGTACATTTATTGATTTTAAATTCTACTACTCATTCCTATTTATTGGGCAGTTTCATTTAATCTTTGTAACGAAGCGCGTGTCATTTCTTCACAACATTAAGAATGAGCATGTATACGATTTGTTAAATGTGCAGCATACGCACTTGTTTAAATGCGAAGAGCATATATTAAGAGCCAAGGAAGAATATCTACCTAGACTTATTGGCTAGCAAGCATTTTCAATACGAAATGTGGTACTTATTTTCTATATAAGAATAAGATTTTAGATAAGAATAATGTTTTAGAATTTAAATTATGAGATTTAAAATAATTTTCCCCATCTTCTACTTTAAAAATGTAATCATGAGTATTAAATTTAACTTTTTTATTAGGTAAATGTGTAGAAAGAAAGGTATGATTCAGTTACAAGAACCTTTCATAATTGAAACACACAAAAATCTTATAAAATATGCCATTATAAGCGAAATCTCAGCCTTAACATTTATATTTGACAATAAGCTAGGTAAGTGCAACATAAATATGTAGATATGTAAAAATTGTTAATTATAGTTTACTTTGCAGAAGTAATTAAATGAACTACTCAAACCACTGAGTGCATAGCTAATTGGCCAATGATTCGATGTGAATTTTGTTAGATATACTCTCATCATTGGTATATTCCAAACGAGATCTAACCATTTTATTTTTTTCCGTTAGTCTTGAATGAAATTCATTACTGTTTTTGATACAGCTAAGCGGAGTTCTCTTTATGCCATTTTCACGTGACTCCTTTTGTTTTAATTTAAGCGATTTCATATTCTTAGGACCATTTTCCGAATTTTCAGAAACTAAACGCTGTGGCGACATTTGCAATTCTTTTGTAATACGGCGTGTGGTTAATGGTATTTTCTCATTAGCACGTGTGCGACGCATACGTTTATGAGTAATTTTTCTAAAGAGTTGACCTTGCCGATCGGCTTTGTTTGCTTCCACCGCAGTCTTTTGATTATTTGTACTGGTTGAGCAAATACTGTTATCACTCATATCAAGCGAAAGTGTTGCTAATATGCTTTCCAACAGAACGCTTTCGGTAGTTTCATCGTCATCATCGTTAAACATTATAGGTGTTCGGTCAACACCAAATGTGGGCGAACGTGGATCAATCTCATCTTGTATGATTTTTGGTGAGCGTTGTAGTAAAACTGGCTTAGGTATTAAAACATCTTCTATTTTAGTTGATGACTTTTCTTTACAGGAAACAGAACACTCAGCAACTTCTTCAATAGTTTCTATTTTTGTTTCATCATCTTCATAAGTATTATTTTTAGGTGCAAAATCTATGCTATTACTCATTTTATCAATTGCATCATTGAATTCTTCTACGGAAACAACTGAATTTATATATTCTGCTTTTTTGCTGGAAGGCAATTCTACGTCATATTTTGATTTTAGATGCTCTGATGTGATAGGTAGTGCTTGAGTGGCGGCAAATAAATCAGCAAATGTATCATCTAGATTCAATATTTTATCTTGCGAGTCGTCAAAAGAGATCGGTGTGCGATTGAATTGATAACCGGGTGAACGTGGATCGGTTAGGTTGTTGGAAAATCCTTTGAAAATTCTTTTACGTAGTTGGGCTACTGCACTTTCGGAATCGCGATTTACTTCCATTCGTTGTATACAGGCGTTGGTTTGATTTTTCGTCGAAAAGATCTAGAAAAAAGTGACACAATTATATACTTAAATATATTATTAACCGCTAATACTTACATTAATAGGAGTTCTGCACATATTTGGCGAACGAGGGTCTTGTTCATCACTAATTTCCTCAAATTCAAACGTATTTTCCATGACAATCGGTACACACGATGTACTAGTTGGAACTATAGGTGTCTCTGGCAAATAAGTGCCCTCAATTTTCGTTTGTTTAGAGCCCATTATAAATTTGTTTAACAAATTAGCTCTGCTTATTTATATTTATCGTCGATGAAATGCAAATTATCAAAATATAGCGCGGCTTTTTGGTTTTTTAAATTATAATGGCGGTTGTATTAAGGCGAAGTTGGCTGCAATTTTTTAAAAGAACAGATGTTAACCTAAGGCTGCCTGATCGTTTGTTTGCGACATGTTTTATCTTTATCAATATTTGTGTGGCTGTATAACAGTTTATGATCTACAAACATACTCATGTGTAAGTCCATAGACGTTACAAGTAGCCATAATAAGTAAGATAAGACAAGTGTGAATATAATGTAACGGATTTCTCGATAAATAATACACCGTCTAATTCACTCTTAAGTTCGATCACTAGATTATTAGATAAAAGTCTTAATTCAATGGCCATATACTTATCTTTATTTCTAATCCAAACAACTCAACACTTATTACTCGTTATTCGAGTTTACAATTTATTGGTTATAAAATAGCTCAATTGCTCCTTACACGGTAACCCTCTAATTAGAACTTTGCTGCTCAATCCGGCTGAACTTATATACATAGTAGATCTTTAACAAAACTTTGAGCATTTTATTTAAGAACCGCTCCAACGGCTGCACCCACTATCAATTTGCCATTGCAGTGAAATGCTCTGCAGCAATATCAGCTGTAAGATTGGCGGCGTTAGGTAAATTTCCCACAAAAACCTTTGGGCTTGGCTAGATCTGGTTGAGAAGATTTCAAATCACATTAAAATATGGTTCCACCTGCGAAACTCTCAACATCTACACTATCGGATCAGAAATGGCTGATGGAGTTGGCGTCCGAATCTAGTGCGCGGAGCTAGACCTCAGCCGATACTTCAAGCTGCCGAAATACTGCAGTATCTCCCAGGCGGAAGTCATTGTGATCACGAAAGCTGCTGAGAAAGCTAATAACGCAGGAAGCGACATAAAGAACATCAATACATAGTTAGATATCCAACCGGCAATTAAAGCAATAATCTCACATCGCATTACGTTAGAGAATGTATTTAGAAGCAGGGTGGCAGTAGATATAGTGGCTTCCAGAAAGCGACTGTATATGGTATATAATGGGTTCCAGGCCAGAAGGCGATCCAGGAAACGATATAGCTGGTGAGATTCCATGAGTGCCATTCGCTTGACTACCGAACCTGTTCAAGAAATACGCAAATCGTTTAAAACAATACGCAACGAAATTTCCGAAATGTCCAAGATAGTGGAAGGAAAACATGCAAGCTTTCTAATCACATGGTTTCGAAAAGACTGCACTAGAGTTATTGACCTAGTCACAGGTCACAACTTATTGGCATCACATGCGAACCATATAGGCATTATTAACAATGATATATGTAGAAAGTGCAGGAAAGTAGGCATGGGGACTAGATGAAGTATGAGAAATAGATATTAAGTCTCTATTAAACTTCGCAAAAACCGAGCCGACCTGTATGACATAAACTCGCATTAAACCGAACCTACATCTGTCATTACAAAAGACATGTATAGCGTGACAGCCAGTACAACCTAACCGAATCTATACATACTTTAAGAATGACAAAATGACGGCGTTTTTAAAAAAAGTTTAATTTCACCCAAAGAAAATCGCATATAAAGATAAACTGACGGAGCCGATTAATTTACACTTTAAAGGTTGTAACTCAAAAACTATTTGAGATATCGATTTAAAATTGTAGTATGTGATTTTTAAAAGTTTAACCTAGCAAAATCGATTTTATTTTTTATTTCACTCTTAATGCGACCTATAAGTACATAAGTGTAGACTTATTGGGACTGTAAATATTTAATATTTTAGGTAAGGCTTCGACAAAATGGCACAAAGAACTCACATCCACTTGAAGAGGATTAATCATCTCTTCACATACATACACACTCACGTTCAGAAGTTTTAGTTGTTAATTAACACCAAGCAACCGCTAGAAATCGGTGTCAAAATCAACTAGGCAAAAATCGAAAACATATGTAAATCTTTATAATATTTTTTTTTTAACCTAGGCCGGTAGGTAACGCCTTTTGACCTAAACAAACTGTTTTTAGTCATTATTTGGGTATGTACTCGTATGTATGTACACAACGATTACAACACACAGCATTAACGAACATAACATCGGCGATAACCAAAAACTGGTATGCAAATTTGTTCACCTAAGAGTTTGTCCAACAAGCCGCCAAATTTATTTGAATAAACTTCGCATGATCCGAAATCTCTTTGCTGCGGCGATGATTTTACGCAAACAAATTATAAAGAAATAAACATAAGCAAGCATGAAGAGCTGCTAATGCCGCAGCGGTAATGACTAACAAAGCATTAAAAATTACAAAAAAAAAAAAAACAATAAAAAAGAAGGAGCAAAAAGTCAGTTGTGTGCCTTTGCACAAAGTCCGTAAGGGTGTAAGCCGTCTGTCTTATTAATATTCAAGCGTATTTAAAGCCAGAAATTTTGGCCACCTTCCAAGTGTGACAGAAACGCCCAAAAGACCTTACTAAGTACATACACACAGAGAAAATGTTTTTGTAAGCATGCGCAAGTCTGGATTTCTATGCCTTGTTGGCGCTACCGTTCCTTTGAAGTTCGCGCAGCTGCCGCCGACATAAAAGCGCTTGGAAAATACGCTGGGTGCATGCGAAAACTTATTTAATTATAATTCTTTTCTGCATTTGCATTTCCCTTGCAAATATTAGCGAAATGTCAAAGAAAAAGCCGAAATTTGGCGGAAGGCGCATCGAGGTGCATTGCGCATGCGCACACACGCGTCGGCAGTGAACGGCTGACCCAACAGCGCACCTTTAAATGTCATCGCCAGCTCGTATGTGTGTATTTTTTATTTAAACAATTTTTTTTTGATTGTGTTTTTTTTTTGTTTCATGTGCGTAAAGCTTCGTTTTACATGTGGCGGTCTTGTGTCGCATAAAAGAAAACAATGAAATCGCGCGCATATGGCACACTGTTTACACATCTCATTAACTAAATGCTAGTAATTCTTGCGTTTTTTCTTTTTTAATTTTACATACCAATTTTACGGTACTCATTGCTTCGTGTTGTGGCAGTTATGTTTTTTTGCCGAAAAGTTTTCTGATAAAAAAATAATATGAAGAAGTTACGTGATTGCCGCGTGTACGCGTATTTTTAATAAATAATTCTTTCTGGTTTTTAATTTTTTTGCTAAATTTTTTGCAGTTTGTACTTACCTTGTGGCTTGTTCTATAAGCGAGTCTTTTGTGCGCTTGATTTTTTTTTGTCTGATGGCTTTAGCTTGTGTCTCAGAAGTGCCGTGAAATGTTAGTAAATTTACTGGTACAATTGTGGTCACACTTTGAGATTTCTATCGCACAAATGTAGTTGTTAATTTTAATTGAAAAAAGTAAAAAAAAAAAAAAAAAATTCAGTAAAAAATTATATGTTGTTATTGTGCTTCTTTTTACTTGCAGCTATGAAGCAATTCTACAATGCTAATATTTAAATATTATGTACGTATGTACATATGTGGTAAAGTATGCAAATTAATTTATTAAAAGCATGTCAGATCTACAATATATTATTCATTGCAAAAAATAGAAAAAAATTAAATCATAAAAAATACATTGAGAGATGGAAATATAACTTATACTATATATCTTTTTTATATTTCATAATTACAAAAAAATATGTTAAACTAATTTTTCTCTCTATAGTCCGTTCTTCTTCTAATTTAGATTGTTTGAATTTTATATATTTGATATAGTAAAAAAATGCATTACTTTTCCAATACATAGATGGCTTAAGCATTCCGTATCTCGCATTGTGTAATTGCAATATGACGTTAGAAGAATAAGATTTCGACCAAAGGACGGATTTCAAACCTCACAGACAGTTTTGTGATTTCTTAATTCATTATTGTTTGAACACGTGTGAAAGATAGACGTCAGTAAATAGCGGAAATTAAAGCCAGAAGAATGAAAATATTAATCGTTTTTATGATCCTGATAGTGTAACAAGCAACCTTGCGCAATTTTGTGAGAATGCGTGAATAAAGTTGATGGAGCAAAGTTTCGTCCTGGGAATCGCTGCTGAATCGCAACAAATTGGAAACATTTCTGAAGCGGATGGTTATTGGTAAGGAAAAGTGGTTAATATACGACAACGTCAAGTAAAAACGATTGTGGTTGAATAGTAGTGCACCGACGTGTAACGGTGACTAAGCCAGGATAACCGGTCAGGAAGGATTGGGCTATGTGTTTGGTAGAATTGGCAGGAAATCATGTACTAGAAGCTCGTCCCCTACGGCCAAACTCATAATTCAGACCTGTACTGTTGGCAATTGGACAGACTGATGGCAACAATTGCCCAGAAGCGTCCATTTTTAAACAATAGATTATGAATTGTGTTCCACCATGACAACCCTAGGTCACACACAAACATAGAGACACGCCAGAAGTTCCGGAAGCTTGCTTGTGATAATCTTATACATCCACCTTATAGCTTGAATCTGACGTTAAGTGCTTTTCACCTGTTCCTGTCAATGGCAAATAATTTGGCCGGTGAAAAGTTTGCTTCAAAAGAAGCTTGTGGAATTCGACCGTCCCGTTTTTTGACAATTGGGACGAGAGTTTCAATGAGAGAGGTACTATAAAATTAACTTAAAAATACAAATATTTCACCGCATGTTTCACTTAAATCGGATAATTTTAGCTATGCTAAATAAAACCTTCAATTCAATGCAAAAATAAGAGATTTCTTGTTACTAGACTTTGTATTTGAGTAAATTTTATTTTATTAGATTTTACTAAATAAGCAACAAAATGCATACCGCGATATTTTACACGTATAACTCATATCTTCCACCTCATGATATGTGAACCATCCTCAACTTGTTGTAGTTGTAATTATAGATTTTCACCAAAACGTAAATAAGCCGTAAAAAAAAGTTCATTGCTTTCTGCCAAACAAGTACTATTTTAAAATTAAAGTATAGACATTTTTTTTTTGTAAATTAATTTTATATCTTATTCGGTAAATAAATACTCGTATGTATATTGTTTTTCTTTCAGTACAGTGAAATATTGAAATAAAACTAACAGGCTTGAATTGGATGAATGACATTTAAAAGACTTATACGTTAATGGGAGAAGCAGGAACATTCTTGGCAGCTAATTTTGTATTAATGTACCAAAATATGTAACATAGATCAAATATCAATAATCAGATTTTTTG